ATAGAGAAAAGATTTTTGATTTGTTGCTCTCCATTCATTCAACTTAACATGAACATTGATACAGATTGGAAAATAGACATATACATATTTTATAATCAAATTGTAAAAAAAAAAAGTCGTTTTAAGTATACAAGCCAGATTTAAAGAGACGGAAATGGAATTTTGTTGTGACTCTATGTATGACACGCTAGTACCCTGACAACAAACTATTAACTGTATTCACAGAGCTCATTTCTTCTGTGTCTTAATAGCATTGCCATTTGCTAACACCTTTATCTGCGTGCTTGCCAGTTAGTCTTGAAGCTTTGTGTGTTTTATTTTTTCCATGTAAAATGCTATCTTCCTAATATCAGTTTACCAATAATATCATCATGTAGTAATCTTTCACTGAGTCCAGCCAGGCCTGCAGGTGGGGGTGGATGGGCCATCCAGCTCTCAGCCTTGAAAACTTGGGCAGAACTGGTCCCGTGGTTATATCCTGTTGCACACTGGCTATGAGTGAGTTTAGCAGAGTTTCAAAGTAATTGAGTTCTGTGGTTGGAGAGCCAACCACATATCATGGAACTCTGTTAAGGAGATACCTGCTTATACAAAATGGTCTAGTTTTCCTTCTCTTGCGAAGAAGGCCTTAGGTAGAGCAGGGTCACTGACTTTTAAGCTGTATTAGTTTCCTGAAGAGGCAAAATATTCTACTCTATGCATTTTTTTTAAATACTGAATTAAAATTCTTGGGTCTTTACATAACAATTCCCACTAAAAGGAAGCAGGCCTTACTCAAAAACTGACCAATTCTATGCCTGTGGTTAAAAACAACAACAACAACAATGGGAGATGAGCCCCAAGTCAACTTGCCTAATATCTAGGCAGTGTTAAAAACAACATGGTACACATATGGAAAAATACCAGAGGAATTCTTTGGAAAGGTCTCCTATTGGCCATTCAGGAACTATTTGAACATCAAGATAGTATTACTGTGTGGTATAATAATAGATCCAAAAAATAAAAGCACATGCATGAGTTCATATTTATATAAATAAATGAGTAAATAAATGAATAAACCATGGAAAAGGGCAAGCTTTTCTTAGAAATAGCCAGAAACTCACCAATGGATTTTTTGCAGATAACATTTAAGTGATGAGTAGCATGTTTATGTAATCTTTAAAGTACTTTTTCATTACAAAAGAAAAATCCATAACTATACGGTAAAGACACCTGACAGACTCTGCATCGACAAAGTGAAGCAATCACGAACCACCCCACTCCTGGCCACCTTGCTCCGGGGAGCTGCTGTTCAGTCAGCCCTGCAGATAAGAGGTCCACGTTCCACATCCAGGGATGGGAGTTCATTTCCCAGCTCTGGCTTTGACTCCAGCATGCCTGTGAAGCTGTGATGTTAGTTCCAGTGGTTGGGTTTTCTGTCTCCCATGTAGGAATACCTAAGGTGATTTCCTGACTCCTAGCTTCAGCCTTAGCCCAGTCCCACCTATTGTAGGTGTTTGAAGAAGGAACCAACAGATGAAAGCTTGGTCTCTGTTGCTCTGTGTGCTTCTCTGCGCCTCTGAAAAAAAAAAAAGAAAATATTAATACAAAATAAACACCCTCAATGTTGCACAGACTCACATTATGTGGTTTCTGATGCACAGAGCAGACACAGTGGTTCTGCTGTGATAACCTGTTCCAAATGAATATAATCCTTACCTTTAGGAAGACCTCACTTCTGTGAAATAGCTGGCGCCCCACACTTCAAATCATCAGAGTTAAAGAAAGCCACAGATGAGTCGGTGTTCAAGGTGAAAAGTTGGTGGGAGACAGATAAAGAGACAGGAGGACAAAATGTGATGTTTGATCCTTGATTGAATCTTGGACTGAGAACTAAAAATTGACTTTATTTGGGAGCCTGCCAACATTTGAAAATGGACTGTGAATTAGATAATAGTGTTGTGTCAATGTGGAATTCACTCATTTCAATAATTATAGTGTGATTATATAAGATAATGTCCCTATTCTTTGGAAATAATACATTTGAGTATTCAATATTTAAGTATTCAATATTTAAGTATTCATTCTGTTATCTCCTACTTAATCCCAAATGATTGAGGGAAAAAAATGTGTGCACATGCATGCATAGGCAGAGTGAAATGTAAATGATCAGTTGTCCTGATCGCTGGATTTCTCAATTCTTTCTGCCTTTTTGCAACATGGTTCTTCATCACAGAGCTTGCAGTAAAGTAAGCATCACTTGAATTAGCGTTAAGAGAAAGACTATACTTTTTGTTAATAGGTTTCCAATTTCCACTCAAATTTGTCTCATCAATAACAATAAAAAGATGGTAAGTCCAGTTTATTCATCAAAACCTCGTCACCTTATTTACTATCATGTTTTAGGTAGCTTGCTATGTTAACATTGCTCACTGGACTATAACTTGAGAAAAGTAGCCAGGAAAAAAAAAATTGCGTTTCCAAGCCATGCTTCTGTTCTCTTTATGAGACATTTGATTATCGAAATGAGGGGGAGCCATGACTTAAATACATTTTCTGAAAACGCATTTCATTACCAACCCATAAATGAAAATGTCCTTGAAGAGATCTTCCAGTATTTTGTTTCATATGGCATTCAGGTGATGCATTAAATAATGCTGCCTCTGTTTATGAGCCAAAGCAGAAGAAAGTCTTCTGTGAAACTACTTAATTTGAGACCCTGACTTTTAAAAGGAAAGTGAAGTGTAATTTTCTGAATGTACTTCTGGAGTTTCTTTGGTTTGTAGCAATATACTGAAAGCAATTTACGCAGTATTAGGCTGTTTTAATCTGCACCTCATTGAATGGATTTTTCTCCGTGTAAATTCATGATTGTCTAGAGCTGTCCAAACCTAAAGGCAACACATTTGTAAGAAACTGCCAGAATCTGTGGGCACCCCAAGTCTGAATGAAAAGGAATTGCTCAAAGAAAGAAAGTACTCTCAAAGAATGTATGCATTCTATTCCCATCCATTTGGGAACCTTACATTTTACTGAAAGTGTCCTGATGCTTTAGAAATTTTTTTATTTTTTTGTGTGTGTAAGAGGGAGGGAGGGAGGGAGAGAGAGAGAGAGAGAGAGAGAGAGAATGAGAGATTGAGAGAGAGAATCACAACAGCTGGGACCTAATCAGGTGAAAGCTACATCTGAGAACTCAGTTCAAGTCTCACAGCTTTACTCAAACCTGTGGCCTCCCTCGATACCCATTAGCAGGGCTAGAATTGGGGTGGAGTTGGGAGCTGAACACAGACACTCTGATAATGCAAATGTCCCAAGCTGTGTCTTAATTATAGTGCCAAACACTTGTTCCAGAAAGTGTCCTGATTTAAGTGTTTGAGCTACCTGATCTCATCCTGCAAGAAAGAAATATTGCCATGTTCCACGCATCTTAGTCAAAGCTATCATCAATATTATTTTGCTTTGACCTATACTTCAGCTAACTGACTGAGCTTTTTCTGCTGCAAGCTTTTTGTTCAATGTCAAATCTACAGACTCTGTTTTGAGATGTGGTTGCTCAGCCCTTTACATCTTGTCATTTGGAAAAGTTGTAGAAGAGAACTTATAAAATGGGAGATCTGATCTTTCTGTAAGAGTCAATGGAGTTACATCTTTCTAGAAATGTTTTATAATCTGTTTTAAAGATTTATTTGTATATTCTAAAACTAAGGAATCAGAGAGAGATATGTACACCTGCAAGGAGAAAGGGAGAGAGATTTTCTGGGCACTCATTCTCCCCTCAAATGCCAGCAACTGTTCGGGTTAGACCAGGATGAAGCTAGGAATCAGGAGCTTCATCTGGGAATGCCAAGTGGGTGGCAGGGAGCCCAGTCCTTGGGCCATCATCTGCTGCCTCCAAGACTCATCAGCAGGACGCTAGCTTGGAAGCAGAGTAACCAGGACTGTAGCCGTCTTCCCCATCAGTGACAACCTGGCACTCCACAGTGCTTGCCCCTCTCTGGAATTTTTACCTTGTCTTCTAAATGTTACCCTTGACATGGGATGATGACGATAGCAGTATATTGGGTGTTGAGGAGGTCTAGGGATGGTGTTAGATGCTCCTCACTCCACGGACCTGTTTGATCCTTAGCATCACTTTCCTAAGTAGAAATGCTTGACCTTGTTCATGAGAAAGCTGCTGCTCAGAAAGTAGCTGATCTGAAGATTCACAGGAACAAGAGAAACTCAGACCTATCCTTGTTATTAGACGGGTAGGTCCTATACTTTGTGGTTCATTTCTGTTCTCTGATCTTTTTAAATATCAGGGCATTTTCAAACATTAAAACTGTACAATGATTTCAAGTTGATTTAGCTCAACTCTGCTCTTTGGATGGCAGAGTCTAGACAACTGCAAGAGAAGGTATGAAAGTGCCTGGATTTGTAGACTCTGTGGTGTGGAGTTTTGTTCAAGTTAATCACAGCTTTCTAGAGCACAATGTCTTCTGAACTGAGTCCGTGGTAAAAAGGATTAAATGAAATCATGTATGGGATGGTTTTCTACAGATTGTAAAACATCTTATCAACAACATTACATTTATGTGTGGATCTGCTGAATTTGAGCCATTTGGGCTTTTTCTCAAAACTGCTACAATTTCTCTTCATATTCTTGTAAATTAATATGCAAGTTATCTATTAAAATGAGCTCACTTAACTGCTTATAATTACAACATATTCACAGAATCTCAACATGTTCACGGAAACTCATACTGTACTACTTTAAGCAGTAAGTAGGCCTTCGTATTATTTCTTCTAGGTGGCACAAATGTGTGGTAGTTATGTGAGAAGGTGTAACATTCTACCACACATGTGTGGGTGAAATGATAAGCTGTTGGAGGTGTGCTTTCCAATACTTTAGCAAAGGAAAAATAGGGGGAGATATAATTTTGAGCAAATCTTGCTGGGGAATTTGGCCCCATTATACCACTCACTACTTTGGTGGAGGGCAGGAAATTTTGCTCATGCATGTTTAAATTTTTCTTTTACAGATGCAGATTTTCTTTTACAATCCAGACGACTTTGACAGCTTTCAGACTGCCATTTCAGAGAATAGAATAATTGGAGCCATGGCCATATTTTTTCAAGTAAGTTAACAGTGGCTGAAGTGCTTTAGCCAGTGAGTTCTCCGAATATATTTATATATTTTTGTCAATTCACCAAATTGTTCCATGTTTAATGAATGCATCTGTTTTTTAGTTCACACCTGTCTCAGTGAAAGATATTTCATATTGTCTAATGTGTGATTTAAAATGTAAATAAGTATGTTTAGAAACATAATGAAAATTTTTGCATGAATTATTCTGATTTTATTGCTACTTGACTGGTGCACAGATTGAAGAACACATTTATCATCGAAGTTACTTCACTGCTGAAGCGATTTGAGCAGGTTCCTTCAGCATATTAAGAAGCTGATGTTTTTTTAAAAAGGTGATTTTATTTGAACCAACTGTAAAATTTGACATTACTTGCAACTAGATAAATAGCACCAGTCACTTCTCTAAAGAGACCCCCTTTTCTTTCAATTCCAGAAATCCCCATGGTAACTGAAGTTGTTGGTAAAACTATTTTTCAAGTTATCATGTCTGTGAACTCCCATCCTTGATTTCTCTCTCCCTCAATGTACCTATGCTGATGAGTGTTTTTACAGCTCAGTTGTTGATTTTACACAAAGAAGCAAATCTTGGATTCTTCATTAGTTCTACTTTCCATGTTTTTAGTAAGTCAGACTAATTTAAACTGTTGGTTGGCGAGGGTCTTGATTAACTTGCCTGTGGGGGACATGGTAGTTTGTTGTGTAGAAGGTAACCTGACTAGTTGATAGGCATGTGATTTCTGTTTCAACCTTAAAGTTTACTTTTAAGACTGTATACAGGTGTTCGTTTTACTCGTCAGTCATTGTCAGAAAATGGTGTCTTCCTGACAATTCAAAGGAACGTCAGTGACATCAAAACCAAACTCAGCACTTCATACAGTGCTTGAGTCACTGCTTGGAATGCAAGAGTGCCTGGGTTCAAGTACCTGCTCTACTCTGGAATCCAGCTTCCTGTTAATGTGCATGCATCCTGGAAGGCTTAAGTACATAGATCCCTGCCACCTATGTGTGCGAGTCAACTCACATTCCTGTTTCCTAGCATTAGCTTCCTGCTCTTCCCTGCTGTAAGCATTTGAGGATAAGATGAGCAGAGGGAAGATCTTTCTCTCTCTCTCTCTCTCCCCCCAACATAGACTTTCAACATCAAGCTCTATGAGCCGACTTCTTTGTCCTTGAGACAGTTCTGTTCTTTTTGGAGTATGTTAATTTCAGTGCCCTTTCTAACTGGTGACACATGATTGACAATTCTCTTCATTTCTTATCTCATCCTTTTAACCGCCCTGCTTCCCTTTTCTTTGCTGGGATAAAGGCTCAATTGGATGATTATATGTGGGAATTTGAAAAGCCTAATATTCTACCTAATGTCAGAAATCACAAGAAGAGTGGTCAGGGCTCATTGTGCATTGGTTTTCAAGTGGTGAGTTCTGACCTGCTATTTGGCTGTAAGATCATTTCAGTAAGGCCTGAACAGCATTTTAAAAATAATGAAATAAAAGAACAGTACATGACAGTGAAGGAAAGGCATATTAAATTGTATCACATGCAATAAGGATAAATACTTCTGTAGAACACTTTTCATTGTTCATACACAGTAATACACACTTGGATGTGTACTGAGTATGATGTAGGCTGTGTTATCTGTAGGTAATGGTAAGACATTCTGAAAATTGTTTATAGTGTATTGGGCTGATCTCCCATTGTTTTTCAGTACATATCCTTTTGCTGATTACATTCATGAACCACAGTACAAGATAAGATTGTAAGAGCTTATTCGCTGGAATAAAAAATACTTGCTTTTGAATCCCCTTCTTATGCTTAACAACTGCATAATGATGAGTTGTTATTTAAACTTTCCATCCTTAGTTTCCATTCTTTTTTATGAAATGAAAATCACCACCAGTATACCAGGACTGTAGGAATGATTAATTACCAAGTAGGTACTTGGTAAATGCCACATCATATTTATCTGCGCTCATCCACCTGTTTCTGTGGATTGGAGACCCCCTGATGTGCATGTCTTCTTTTCCATGGACAGAGGTGGATTCCAGTATTTCTGGGAAACTGCTTCTTTTCTGGCTGGAGGTCTTGTGCTTCTAAGCTATGACTAATTTGCCTCTGGCAACAGTAGGATCCTATGAAAGAGTGGTTGGCATTTCCCATTCACCTGGATAGCCTCTCAGAGTCCTATACACATCCAGCCTCTCATGGGACTAGACCTCACCTCTGTTGTACCCATGTATGTAGATCAACCATGCTCTGCTTTGTAGAGCACCTTTCCTGTTGGAAAGTAAATGTTTAAAATTTTTTTTATGAAAGGACTAGTTCACAGCATGCTGTATCTGAATACTATCTGTTGTTGTGGCTCTGTAAACTCGGTTTAAATGTAAGAGCAATGAATCTTAAACAAGCCAGACATGTTGGTATGCAAACCACCAAAAACACCTCGGTGGGAAGTCTGGGTTTTGAGTTTTTAAAGTATTTCTGGGACACGGGTCCTACTCACAGACAAGGAAATTTGATGTGCAGTTCATTTGTTAGATCCCTTTCTAAATTTTGGCTTCCTATCCTGTCGACATAAAATAAAGCTCAGATAGTAAAAAATAGAATGGCATTTTATTTAGTTAGCAGCTGTGTTGAGCTGCTTCCTTTGTTTTCCTTACAATTCCACATGTGTGTTTATACTTTGGAGTTCACAATGTGTCATGTAACGGAAAGAAAAAAGTGTTATTGTTATTTTAATTTGGCAGTCTCCTTAGATCCTGTATTTTGAGATCTTTGTCTTTTGAATTTTTCTATGGGAATGATAAATTCAAGAGTTTGGAATTTATCTCCCCAAATAATCACATAAATCTTGTTACATATTCCAAATTCAGACCTAGCCTTTCTCATTTCAATATTGAAGAATTATTTGTATCTATTAAATACAAATTACAGTGCCAGGAGTGTTTGCTACATTAAATATAATAAACACAGTTCATCCTCTGTCCTGAATATTGTCACTGTTGCAATCCCAATGACAATGCCTAACAGAGATGAACAGAAAGGCTTCTCTTCTGGTAGGGAGACTGTCACACCCAGTGCTCATAAACCACATACTCAGCATCCAGAATAGCACAGTGCAAGTGACCCACAAGTGCATGCCTAGGGAAAGTTAAGTTGCACCCAGATATTGTTACTCTTGATGCTGGCTCATTCCACATTCCAGAAAAGTGTTCATACCCCTTCAGGTTTTCATTGCCTCTGCCTGTTCTGGGTAAGGTTGACTGTTTGCCTTTGCAGTTGTTAGACCTGAAGAAGTTCACAGTGTTGCTGAAACAAGTACAAATGCAGCAGGCACACATTTGACAAAAAAAAAAAAAAAGTGTTGGCCTTCCCTAGTCCACTGTGGCACACTGCCATGATTTGTGGAAACTGCACGGTGTTTCCAGTTCTTTGGTTCGTTATGGAGGCTTTGACATAGAAAGTATTAGTGGTTATCTCTACTTTGGTTTGGAAGGCGTATGCATTGCCATTGGAAGGGTCTCCAACCTAGCTTATCCATTTGTTCATGTCAGCGTGATCTTAGCTTCACTATTTTCTGGTGTTGATCTGACGTGAATACCTAGAAAATAGTAGAAGTAAGTACCATACTGTTTTAAGATAGTCTTTTGTTCTGATTTCACCCTGAAGGGATTATGTGCTTAAACCTGTAACAGGTAACAAAACTTAGGTTTGCATTAGATCGAATCTGTGGAATGATTAGGCAGTTTGTGGAAGGATGCTTTGTTGTTATAATAATCTACAATCACACTTAATTTTCTTAAATTTGAGTTTACAAAATACCCAGCACTCAGAGTGACCTTTCCTTTAGTTAGAAGTGTATTTTAACAATTTTTTTCAACATCAGAAAAAATTTTCACGGACACATACAAATTGTACAGATTGATGGGGCACTATGTGCTATTTCAGTAGGTGTGTATATTGTATAATATGCCATCGGGGACACATTGCTTTCTTCAAACGTCCAACATTTCTTTAGGCTGAAAACGCTGAACATCCTATCTTCCAGTTGTTTTTCAACACAGAAATATATGATCCATTGCCCATTGTCACCCTGCTGAGCAACGAAATTGCAGAGTTTCTTACTCCTGCCTAACTGTGTTAGTGCCTGTTTATCAACCTTTCCCCATGCCTTACTGCTCACTTCCTTCCGCAGCTTCTCCTAACACTGTTGCAGTTTTGACTTCAAACCTCATTGTTAGACTCCATGTTTGAAAAATACCCTGTGACGGTTATCCCTCTGCATTTGGTTGAATTCACTTAACATAGCGACCTTCAGGTACACCCTTGTTGTTACATCTGACAAGTTGTCAATCTCCCTATGGCTGAGTAAGAGCTGAATCAGAGGTGGAGCAGCCAGGACTCTAACATCTGTATGGGATGCCGAGGTGTACTCTGGTATGCCGCAGCACAGGCTGCAGATACAGGGATCTCTGAGAACATCTGTATGTGGAAACTTCTGTAACATTCTGACCAGCTTCCTTTTAGGATGAAACCTCTGAATCTTCTCACCAATCACAAAGATATAGTTGTGAAACTGTGTTTATCCTAAGACCCAGTCAATAGGTGTATTTTTTATACAGTTAGATTATGAGTTCATCTGACATACACACATATATATTATAAGTTGACTTTCTTAAAGGTGTTTCTTTTTGCATCTTATACAAATCAGTTGAGATTTCCTCATTTAATGTGAGCAGTTCTTCCACTGGGACAGTTGTACGAGTATACTTTTTTTCCCATTGTCTCTGAAATTCTACCCGGAGTGTGACTGTAGTCATTTCGTTTTCCCTGAGGTGTACACAGGCAGTTGCCTCCTTTCATTTCTGCCCTTATTTCATGGTTGCAAGGAAACTTCAGAACTCAAATGTTGCGCAAGTTGCTAACCCATTCTTTATATCATGTCGGTGCTACAGACGGCTTAATTATTTTTCTCCATCTGGAGAGGCTTAG